AAATCATTTGCTGCTTAAATTGCTTTCGTGAAATTGGCTGTAATAGTTTCCCTTAAAGGTACAAAAAAAACTCCCAATGGGAAACAAGAAAAAAGTATCGGCTATTAGCAATCTTCGTTTTGCCTTTCACCTTGTTTATGTTAATATATCCCTTACACCGCAAGTAATTGAAAAAATTTTGTCATCATCTAATTTGAGTGGTAATGTAATTTGCACATCACTATTTTCCTGGATAGTTCTTCTCATTTTCGTTGAAGTGCTTTAATAGCAATCAAGACGTGTCCCTACAACAATTTCCGGCTATTGAAGATCATTAGTAGACGCCACATACAAGTGTACAATTAGTTGAACTTACACTACACACATAGATTTGTATGTACGTAAGGGCAAATAAGCGAGTGCGAACAAGTATCCCAGTGAGGAAAATTAAAGAACGTGTTCAAATTGAAATTTTTTTATGTGCAATTTTCAGGTTTGATTTATATGGCCGCGAGAAGAGCACATACCCTTGTGATCTATTCTAATATTTATAAAAGTTTTAATGTTCGATGCAGTGTTGCGTTGAGATGAGGGCACAAATAGACCTACTGTTCGCAGTGCATACTCTATTTACATCTATCTATCTATCTTATCTGAATTAGAATTGAAGACCTCAGTTTAACCAGCTAACTAGAAAAGTGAACTTCAGAAAAGTCGAATACCTGGCTGTTGTTGTTTTGGATTGATGCAGTACTGTTGTTGTAAAGCTTTTTTCTGGAGAAGAGATGTGAACTAAATATTTGGTGCCCATCTGGTGAAGCATACCTTCGAAAGTCATTGAACGACCTGTTGTAGCTCGCACTACAGGTCTCTGGAAGGTGTAAATTTAGTTCTTAGTTCTTATAACTGCTTATTAATTTAAATTTTCATAAGTAATTGGAGAAAATTTTGTAGATGACTTTCACTTGTGGTTCCAGGGTCATATCAGCCTCTCGAGTATAGTTTATTTGTGCTTCCACAGAGTCTTCTCAAATACGACAAATTTTTCCAGTTTTGCTTAGTGGGTAAGTGCCTCAAGACTTTACTATGCACTCATATCTTCATACAGGCATAAGCACATACGTACATATGTTTTAATAAAAAAGTAGACATGTAAGCTGTAATTTTTCTAAGGCTAAGGACGTCCATGACTTGGCTTTAATTGAGTGCGCTAAAGACAAATAATACACTCGACTCTGTCTGTGTATGTGTGTGTGTGTGTCTGTGCACGCCTGTGTCTGTCTGATGCCATTAGAAAGCGACAACATGTAGCTGCAGCAAAGCAAAGCCCAGAAATAACAACGCGCTGTATTAACAACAGCAACAAAACAAGTAACGACATCGCCGGCGGGTAAGTGCGAAACAGTAGCAGTAACAGTTAACAAGCGCAACAGCAACAGCAGCAACAACAACAACAACTAAAGCGATGACAAGAATTACAACGATGATCCTGCGACGATAGCATTAACAATAACAACAACAACTGAAAAGGCAACTAACAAGCAATTATGCGCTGCAATTCGACGCCACTTGCCGACGACTCTTAAGCAGCTACTAAATGCTGGCAGTTGTCTGCTGCCCAGAGCAGACAGCACACACATCAATTGCCAGCTACTAGTAGACACGTTGTAAGTGATTTTATTTGCAGGTAGCACAAGAGCAATAACAACAATGGTCAAGATAGCACTTTCCTTTATTTGTGCTGCGCTTGGCTGACTTGGCTGTATATTGAGCAGACAAGAAACAGCAGAGGAGGCGAGTTGAACCGAGCCGACGCGCAGCGTGCAACAGTAGCAGTAGCAGCAGCAGCAGCAGCGGCCATTACCAGCAACAAATTAAATGACGCGTAAAAAACAATGTTAGAACTGCAAGTGATGTCTGTGCCTATCTACGTTTGTATGTGTATGTATGCAATCGCATATGTATTTGTGTTTTTAACCATGCATTGCAGCGCTCCAAACTGCTGCAATTATTATTATTATTATTATCATCATCACAGA